TGCCTTTTTTATACACTATGTTCCCAGCTGTAGCTAATGAAGGGAATCAGGGCCCTTTCCTCCCCCATTAGCCCTGCAACCCAGGTTGCTCTCTTCTCCGTTCCTCCCTGCATGCCCTAGGATGAAGAGGGGATGGGCCTGGGTCTTCCTCTGAATTCCCTCTCCCTTGTTCTACCTCTTCCCTGCTCTGCCCAGCCAGACTTTGCCCTTCCCCAGTTTCCTCCACAGCCAATGGAGCCACACTCCCACTCCCTGTCAGCTGTTCGGCTTCCTCCTCGGATTCAGACTCTGACAGGGGCATGACAACAGGGCTGTCAAACTCACAGCCCACGGGCCGGATGTGCCATGTGCTGGCCAGTTTAGTGAAGGGGGGGAAAGTCCCAATACATCACATGACATCACCATGACAATGCAAGTTTTACACCCCCGATATATGACACTATTTTCCTCAGAAAGTTTTGGTTATTTCTGACTGTTATGTTTGAGTATTCACTGATGCCATCTATGTGTTTACTGGATTCATGTATTATTTATGTTATCAAATTTTGGGTCAACATCAAAAGATTAACTTGTTAAAGAAATGGGGGTATTCACAATCTTGAATATTTACAGAAACAGGTTTGGTAAATGCAGTGAAAGATAAAGATGCAGGAAACAGCTTGATATTGTTCTTGCATAAGCCTCCTCTTTGGTATTCTTTCAATACCTTGGAAGTGTTCAATTCCAATAATTCATAGAATTGAAGTACCATCCAATGAGAGAGAAAGGGAAGATTGAACTACCCTAATAGCTCAATTAAGTTATTTAATTTCATAACTGTATGTTCAATATGAGTTTCTTTTTTTTAAAGTAACATTTTTGCAAGGACCAATTGTTCTCCACACAATATGAAAAACTGATGAAAACTGAGATTTGCTAAAATAGAGTAATGCAACATTTTCCCTCTCTCCCTTCCAAACATTATCAATTCTTTGGAATTGCGCATGACTTCTAATTTATATGATACCAATGTTGCTTTTTTAAAAAAATCAATTCCATTTAAGAAATCTCCAACATGCAAAATAGCTTAAAGCCATCAATTAGGGTATGATGGTAATGGAAGTAATTCCCTAAAACTAAGGCTTATGTGGCAAACTACTAGTTGCCATCTGCTAATCCTTGCTGGAAAAAATCAGAGAATATATAAAACACAAGTATTAATTGCACTCATTAGCTTCTGAGCAAAAAAAGGAATGCTTATTTCCAAAACTTTATGATGGTTTAAGTAAGGAAGTAAAATGTTGTCCATTCCTGATTTCTTTAAATCAAAAGGACATAAAGAAAGGTATTTGTAACACTAAGATGGCTCCCCTAGCTATTCTTTAGGAACAGCTGTTATTAAGCAAAATCTACTGGTATAGTTCTCCAACCCAGTGGTGGGATTCAAATATTTTTACTACCGATTCTGTGGGTGTGGCTTGGTGGGCGTGGCAGGGGAAGGATACTGTAAAACAGTGATCCCCAACCTTTTTTACGCCGCGGCCCAGTATCCCCAACCTTTTTTATGGCGCGGCCCGGTACCGGCATTAGCTGGGCGCCGCCATCTTTTTTTGATGAAAAAGTGCTTCCGGTGACCTCACCGAAAGCACTTTTTCATCAAAAAAGGATGGCGGCACCCAGCAAGCCAGCGGCCCGGTAGGACTTGTTCCACGGACCGGTACCGGTCCGCGGACCGGTGGTTGGGGACCCCTGCTGTAAAATCTCCAATCAGAGGTGGTATTTGCCGGTTCTCCGAACTACTCAAAATTTCCACTACCGGTTCTCCAGAACTGGTCAGAAGCTGCTGAATACCACCTCTGCTCCAACCCCTGTATGAGATTGTTTTATGTACAGGTGACTTGTAACCATTCATTTAGTGATGATTCAAAGTTACAATGGCACTAAAAAAAGTGACTGATGACTGTTTTTCACATTTACAACCATTGCAGATACCTGTGGTCATGTGATCAAATTTTGGATGCTTGGCAACTGGCATGTATTAATAATTGATGCAGTGTTTCCAGGTCATGTGATCACTATTTGCAATCTTCTGATAAAGCAAAGTCAGTGGGGAAGCCATATTTATTTAACCAACATGTTACTAACAAATGCAGTGATTCACTTAACAAAGGCAGCAAGAAAGGTTGTGAGATATAACAAACTCGCTTAACAATGTGAGTTTGCTTAGCAATGGAAATTTTGGGTCAATTATGATTTTAAGTCAAGCACTACCCATTTTCAACAAATGACTCCGGACATTGAACAACTTTAAAATAAATGTTTAAAAATTCCCATCAAAATATAAAAATTAGAATACACAGCAATTAAGGAAAATATCAAAACTGTCTGTTGCTATCATGGGGCCAATGTACTCAGGAGCCCAAGAACAGAATAGGGCCTGATGAAAGCATAAAAGTCAGGGCCCTGTTGTGTATATATGAGTATGGAAGCCAAGTTCTTAGTTTTATCATGGCTGGCTTCACACAACATCCTTAGTGCTCCCTAAGCTTGTTGTTTTCTTGCAGATGTTGTTTCCTTGTTGTTTTCTTGCTAAGTTGTTTTCTTGCAGATGATTTATTATCCAGCTAGATAATAACATCAGTGTTAGTAAGTATGGGTTTTTTTATTCACATTCACACATCTCCAAACCCTCCACCCATTAGTACTAATGATGTTACCTAATATCTGGATGGGAAACCAATTCCTGGAAGATAGATCTGGTGATTAAAATAGTCCCAAAACAATAACGATAATGCTTAAGAAAACCAGGTATAAAGACAGTTGTCTTTGCTTTTACGTGGAGAGTTAATCTTTCACTTGATAACCAGTAAGGAATCATTCTCTGATTTTTAAACTGAATCTTGTATAAATTAAGACCACAACTGTATTCAAGTCAAATATTGGATTTATTCAGGATGTGGCAATGCAGGCATTGTAGGCTGAAAGAACTGCATACTTCAGGATGTAATTGGAAGATAGGCAGATTACAACATGGGTATAGAATTTCTAAAATTGGGCACTCAAATGTTTATTCTGCTGCACTTAACATTCAATTCTAGTTAATCTAGAACTGCCATAGCCAAACCTCTAAGCATAATCTTTGAAAAATCTTTCAGAACCAGCTCCTTGCCTAACCTATGGTCACAAGCCACAGTCATCCCCATCTTCAAAAAGGGAGACCCAAGCCTAGTTGAAAATTACAGGCCAATCTCCTTATGCTGCGTCACCTGTAAAGTCATGGAATCAATTATTAACCAATCCATCATCCTTCACTTAGAGACAAATAACCTACTCTCCAATAAACAATTTGGTTTCAGAAAAAAACTATCCTGTAATCTGCAACTCTTACACTGCAAAAACATATGGACGACACAACTCGACCAGGGCAAAGCAATAGACGCAATCTACATAGACTTCTGTAAAGCCTTTGATTCAGTGGTACACGACAAACTACTCCTAAAAATAAAATCCTATGGTATCTCTGGACAACTGAATAACTGGATAGAAGCATTCCTGTCAAACAGACAACAAATGGTCAAAATCGGGAGCGTACTATCAAATCCAGTACCTGTCAATAGTGGTGTTCCCCAAAGCAGTGTTCTAGGACCAACTCTCTTCATACTCTACATAAACGACCTCTGTGATCATATTAAGAGCAATTGCGTTCTCTTCGCTGATGATGTAAAGCTGTTCAATACCACAGACAATACTGCTACCCTACAAAAAGATCTTGACTATGTATCAGAGTGGTCAAACAAATGGCAACTTCAAATCTCAACAAATAAATGCTCTGTCTTACATATTGGCAAAAAAAATCAGAAAATAAAATACAAGCTGAATAGTCAAGATCTTGTTGATGACTCAAGCTCTGTAAAGGACCTTGGAATACTCACCTCTAATGATCTAAGTGCTAGAGCCCACTGCAACTACATAGCCAAAAAGGCATTAAGAGTTGTTAACCTAATCCTACGTAGCTTTTTCTCTGGTAATATCACACTACTAACCAGAGCATACAAAACATTTGCTAGACCAATACTCGAATACAGTTCATCAGTCTGGAACCCACACTACGTATCTGATATTAGCACAATTGAGAAAGTCCAGAAATATTTCACAAGAAGAGTTCTCCACTCCTCTACTCGTTGTAGAATACCTTATGCCACCAGACTTGAAATTCTAGAACTTGAAAACCTTGAATTACGCCGTCTTCGGTCTGACTTAAGCATGGTATATAAAATCATACATTGCAATGTCCTACCTGTCAATGAATACTTCAGCTTCAACCATAACAACACAAGAGCACACAATAGATACAAACTCAAAGTAAACCGCACCAAACTTGATTGCAGGAAATACGACTTCAGCAATAGAGTGGTCAATGTCTGGAATACTCTACCCGACTCTGTAGTTTCTTCCCCAAACCCCAAAAACTTTAACCTTAGACTGTCTACTATTGACCTCACCCCTTTCCTAAGAGGCCTGTAGGGGGCGTGCATAAGCGCACCAACGTGCCTACCGTCCCTGTCCTATTGTTTCTCTTATTCTTTTATTTTTCTTATATGTACCCATTTCATGTATTCACAACTATGTATACATTTATACTTATTATCTTGTAAACAATTGGCAAATCAAATAAATAAATAAATAAATAACTGATTAGCAATTAACATTCCATCTACATGAGCCATTTGCAGAATTCTCTTTAGAACAGCAGATTGTGAAGCCCAATTTCCCTTCTCAGATGTTTAAATAGAAATGAATGGAACAAAATAAATGTAGGTTGACCACCTCTCCACTAAAAATGAGTAATGCTAATAATAAAGGTAAGTTGGTTCAATGTCTTAAGCTAAGTATTAATTTGATATGAATACAAAATTGATAACAGATAAACTTTACTTCCTTAGCCAATTCCAAGGATTTGGGAGGGAATAACCTCAAGATTTCATAACTATGTTTTGTTCTGTTCTTTTGTCTCCTTACAGAAAAGGGAAGCATTTTGTCAACTCTCATTGCACCCCTGAAGTATTTGAATCCTTCAGCAGCAAACATGGAAAATGAGGAGAATTTAAGTAAGCACTTTAATCTTCTTCATGTGGATCAGTCAGGAAGTCCTCTATTTTTCATTTATTAAATTTATGCACCACCCATCTTGCTCTGAAAAGCAATTCTGAACAGCTATCATGTATCTTACATTTTCCTGAAATGAGAAATAGTAGAGTCCATCTTTGAAACTTTAAAGGAAGTGCAAGTAAATGTGTTTTTCTGATGAATCTTTTAATGTTAAGCCAGCCTGTTTATGGTGATCTACAGTGACTTGTTAAATATTATTTTGGGACTGAGAAAAAAAATGTATGTAATGTATGTATGTAGAGTGTGAATGTGTGCATGAAAGACATGTGGAGATATGTAGCATCTTTTTGTTGAGGCATTAGTGTTCATAACTGAAAAACATCACATTTCTTTATATTAAACTACCATCTTTAACTGTCCTGCAGGTAGGAACATAAATTTGCATTTGTTTAACTTACTGCTGGGAAAAAGTCATAGCCTCATCAAAATCAGGCAAAACAAAAGCTTTTGATGGTCCTGTTGATATAAGTAGCTGAGATGAAGCCCATATCCTGATAAAGATAACTCAAGATTGGTTTTGAAGTGAAATCCATAATTTCCAAGAAATTTACTTCCATGAAAGTAAATGTTGGAAGTGAAACCTGTTCTTATTCTGTTCCTTGTATAAGGGGTCTCCAAACCCTGATACCTTGGAAACAGAGCCATGTAAGCATCAGGTTAATGAGCTAAACTCCATTTGTCAAAGTGGCAGACATACACGTGCATCTATCCCTCCTGGCCCCAAGAACTGGAAAGGCTGAGGACCACTGCCTTGTATGGTACAGATGGGGAACAAGTAGCAGGTTATCCCTGAGAAGGTTGAAGAGAGTGAGAATTACCAGAATGTCAGGGTGACAATTCACCATTCACAGTTCACAGGGGACAATCTTAACAGTCAGTCAGGACGCATTATGAGAATCAAGAACGTAAATGATGAAAAATACTTTTATGTGTGTCCTAAATTATATGTTAATGGCCCAGGCTTTGTTTTGATAGACCATGATGAGTGAAGAGCAGCCATTCAGACAGTGCAATGACAATCCTACTTACTGTTTCCCCATTGTAGGAAGGAAATTAAAACGGACTCTCCTACTTTGCAGGGAAATGTTATTATTTTTTTCACAAGGATCACTAAGAATATAGATATAGAAGATTTTAAAATTGATATTAATATTGATACTGATAAGTATAGGGAAGTGTGATGAATTAGGCCATTTCTAGTAAAAATATGGGTCATATGCAGTTCCTAAAACTTTACATATAGCTTCCAGATTCTTGAAAAACTGCTTATTTTCATTGGGATGGAATGAAAAAATAATAATTATGTGCATAACTGGAGAGTTTGTTTATCTATACCGAAACCAAAGAGAATTCAGTGTTGATCATACTCTACATTTTAGAATGTTGACAACTCTTAAAGCTAAATGTGTCTGTCTGCTCAAAAAGAAATAATGCCTCCTGGCCTTTTCACAGCCTTCAGGAAAGACCAGAACAAAGAACTTTGCTTTATTTTGAAAGGAATAATAGCAGAATATTGAAAGCCTAGCATAACTTCTCTCCCTCTTAAGACAAACAAGGTTCGACAATCTTTAGTTTCTTTTTTACTCTCTCCTCTTTTTCAGCACAAAGATTTTGTCTGATATCTGTATGATAATCTATAAGACCACCTTTATGGATGTTTTTGTATATCTTTACAACTATCAAGTCCAAGACCTACCAAGTCCAGGGTTCCAGTCACATGGTAGTCAGCATAATACTTCTAGATAGCCTGCAAGTATTCATAACATCGGACTTATATTCACTTGATTATGCAAAAGATACATATTATATAATTTATCTGAATTGTGGGAGGCATCCAACACAAATTATATAATTTAATGTATTTGTGATGCAAGTGATGCAATATTTGATCACACTACATCTCATATAATGGGCTGCCTCCTTTTTCCAAATGCCCAAGCTTCAAAATAGCAATAGCACTTAGACTTATACACCGCTCCATTGTGATTTTCAGCCCTCTCTAGGAAGTTTACAGAGTCAGCATATTGCCACCCCAACAATCTGGGTCCTCATTTTACTAACCTCAGAAGGATGGAAGGCTGAGTAAATCTTCAATCAGTCAGGATTGAATTCTTGGCAATGGACAAAGTTTGCCTGCAGTACTGCACACTAACCACTGTGCCACCAAGGCTCCTTGTTGTACAGTTTTCTTCCAGTTGGCCTCTAGAGGCAGCATTTCTAGGCATATAGCTTTGGGTAAAAGAGATAAGGCATTTTTATTGTTATAGCAGTCGTGATAATCTAAGGTAAATATCTATTCTTCTTTAAAGCCATCCAAGTGTTTCACATAAGAATGAAATCTATATTTAACTATGGTTGGGGTGAAGGACCCGTTATGTCTATCTTAAATCTTAACCATTTATGTTGACTGAGGTTGAATCTTTATGTCACTTCCATCTTTTCTTTCTTTTCTCACTTTAAACACAGTTCGAACTTTGTTAATTTAAAAGAATTCCAGATGTAGCCTGCTACGACAAAGGAATGGATTTCTTTAATTACATCACTATATTTATCCTTTTCTACATTTCTTCCAATGTTATAACATTCTTTTTGAAGTGCAGCTACCAAAACCATAGATAGTATTCCAAGTATAGACACACCATTGATTTTTATGAAGGTATTATGATACAATATTGGCAGTTTTGTTTTTTATTCCTTTCCTAATGATCCATGACAAGGAAGAAATCAGCCTTTTAACAGCAGGCACTTATTGGACTCATGTTTTCTCATGCTGTCTGACACAATTCAAAGATCTTTTTGTTTGTCAGACAGCACCACCACTAACTTTTTGATGAATGCACTCTATGGACACTATTTAAAGTCTACCTTCTGATTAATTGGGTTCCTTCCAATTGATTTCTCATTTTGTCATAAGCATCACAACGTTCTATTATGGAAATATCATGTGCTTATCTCTATTCTATTGCTGTACTTTATCAAGGTAAATTATTATCACGTATCCATAGGGGAGATAACAACAACGTCATACAACAGATATTTTCCCCTTTTTATATGCATGTGAGGCACTTGGTATTGTTAACACCTCTTTCCAATGAATGCTCCTGCAGACTATTTTAAAAGTTCTTTCAGTAACAGATGCATCTGCTTTACACAATTGCATGAAAAAGAATGGGAATATGCGTAATCCCTTCTCCCTTTCAGAAGTATTTGGGAAGTATTTGTACTTTCTTCCTTTAGTCCAGGGATTTCAAATTACATCATCACGGCGGCATCACATGACATATGAGGACTTTTTCCCCCTCTCACTAAACTGGATGTGGGTGTGGCCTATGCATGACACATTCAGTCCACAGGCTGCAAGTTTGGCAGCCCGGCTTTAGTCTGTCACTTAAGCTTGTTCACTTTTAAAGCTTTTCCCCCCAAAACTAGAAATTACTCTTTGGTGTTTATGCATCCCCTAAGAAACTTTATAATGAACTTGGGATATCTTTATGTTGTTTTTGCAATTTTTTTGTTAACATGCAGATTAACGAATCCCTTTTTCAAGTATCTCCATTTCATTTTTGGAATTAGGAAGGAATGTTGCAAACTGTAACTGGTTTTCTATTATAAAAATGAATGAATGAAGATCAAAATGCTAACATAGGAGCAATTTCTCTACTGCAATTGCTCTCTTTTTGGTGAGGAATTGCATGAAAAACTTCCTGGACATTTTCTAATTTAGTTGCACCTGGCACACATACCCATTCAGTCCCTACATCCATATGAAAACAAGCACATATATCACTTAATAACAAAAATATAACTCAATGTTTGTTAATTAAATATTAGCAAACATCAAAAAACTGACAAAATGAACCAAAAGGTCGGAAACAAATAGGGGGAAAAATACATTAACAACAGCCTCAATAAACATTCCTCTTTATTATTCCAGTTGTTGTTATTGTTAGTTGTGAAGTCATGTCATTGTAACCCCATGGACAACATTCATGCAGTCTTCCTGTCTTCTACCATCTCCCTGAGTCCATTTAAGCTCACGCCAGCTGCTTCAGTGACTCCATCCAGCTATCTCCTTCTCTATTGTCCCCTTCTTCTGACGTTTCGGCAGAATCTCATCTGCCATCATCAGGCTTGTGTATTGGATTTGTCTGTGTGTCAGGCTTTCGCAGCTGTTTCTGTTTTAAATTTGGTGTTAGCCTCATGCTTTGTTAGAATGGTTTTTTCTTCATCCTGACTGGTTGGGAGTCTTGGTCTGTGTTTATTGGTCTTAGAGTTTGCTGTGTTCTGCTTGATTGGTATTTCTAATATCTTCTGTCTGTTTTGTAGCGTTTTTTTGTCTTGATTAGTTGGGAACATTGTGTTTCATGTATTGGGGGCTTTTAGCAGGGCTTGGTTTCAGGTGAATGGCCAGCTATTGTTTATTAGGAAGCTAGATTTTATCTGGGTGGCTGGGTGGGGTGTGTTTTGGCTGGAGATATCGGGGGGGGGTTGTTTGTGCCCAGGTGTCTGTTTGGCTTGTGGTGTGGAGATTTTTTTGTTTGTGAGTGCAGGCTTCCAGATAATTGACAGTCTGGTAGAGTCATCTCTTCTATTCATGCTTTCAGGTCGTTTTTCAATCTCTATGGCTTCTCTGATAATTCTGTAGCTGGGGTTTTCTATAGTGGTTAGGGTTTTGGTGCCATTGAAGTCGATGCTATGACCGGTGGCTTTCATGTGTTGGACTAGTGAGGAAGTGTGTTCCAGCTTTTTTACTGCATTTTTGTGTTCATCAAGGTGGGTACTTATTCTTCTATTGGTCTGTCCAATGTATGTGGCAGGGCATGATGCACAGGGGACTTCATATATACCTTGGTTTTCCAGGTCAATTTCATCTTTGGGGCTTTTTAGGATGGCTGCTATTTTTCTGTCTGTTTTGATGGCAGTCTTGATGTGGTGCCTG